TCGTTATAAGGAATTTCTGGTTATAAGGAATATTTTCTCTGGTCCCGTAGAATTCGTTATAACCAGCTTTGACTGTACAACTTTGGATGTCTTGTTTGCATGCATGTATTATATTTTCATCGTCTTTCAGTTTGCCCTTCGCACTTCACAGTCTTTTTTCCATTGTCGTATTATATTCGTCAGTGTATTTGGTAGCTTACATACACTTCACCAATCGGTGGTCAGAAATTTCCTGGAAAAAAAACTTTTAGCTTTGTCAATCAAAACTGGAATCCCCCAGATTGACTTTTGTGTTAATTAAATACTAACTGTGATTTGATTATCGTATGACACTTGAAACAGACGAGAAATGCGGATAATGATAAACTAGAATGGGATGTTAATGCTTATATACAAGATTATTTACTTACTTCCCTTCACGGAAATTATATGAATATCTTGAACTCCACGACTCAATGCTGGATTCACAAAGACTTTTCTTTAGGATATTTATATCCTGCTGAGCATAATCGCCCGTCAATATCCTTGTCACAGCTATATAAGCTTCGTTGGATTTGAGACAAAGAGGGTTATTGACTTGTATTGGGACTTGGTCGGCAGTAAGCGTTTTAAGATAAAGGCGAGATTCTGTAGACCGGATAAGGGAAAGAAGTAAGCAGATATACGAATGATCAAACAAACAAAACAAAATAAACGGAACGACACGCTATATACTCCGTAAGATATAATCTATTAGCATCCAATGTCATCTAGCACATAGCCGTAATTGCTTCCAAAGTGCGACAGATTTCTATACACACTGCATCCACACTATAATCCAATTATCCACTCATAGGTACAAATACTCACCAACATTATCTACAAACACAATCAAAGTTTTCTCTCTGCCTGCCAACCTCCTAATCTTCGTATCAGGACTTAGCCTTCCCGCTCTTGTACTCAACAACAGTACTTGCCCCAAACTCTCCTTGTCGATAGCAGGCGCAAGTTCGCTTTTCACAACCTTTTTCGTATCAGCTACGTCTGCATCATAAGGCACCAGTACCTTCACTGCATCCGTATGCCGCGGGTGTTTGACCCAGAAAACTAGCTTCTTCTCATCGTGAGTAGAGAAGAATACATAGTAGGCCGTGAAAGCGACAGCAAGAACGAAGAGGAACGAAGAGAAAGGTGAAGGTAGTTTGGACGGACGGACGGTGCTAGTTGGCGGAGGAAGAGCAGAGTTTATTACTGCCATTCTGGAACTGACGGGTGGGAGGGTGAGAGTAAAGTGAATGCAAGGTATTTAAGCGTGTCAAAAAAGCTGCGGGGTTGGAATGTGATTATCTTGTGTTATGTTGGTGTAACATCGATCAAGAGATGTGCTTCATTATTGGCCGCTTTTTAATAAATTTGGATATCTCTATTAAAAGGCGGTTGCCTTATTAATAATTGGAGTAAACAAGTATCCACTATTCTTGCTTTGACAGCATCTAAATTGGAGATTAGTAAAAGTTGCTTGTTTGACATTATAAATATATGAAGCATTCGGTAAACAACGTATTACAATACAAATCTCATCGGGGGAAAAATAGGCTTGTCGTTATAAATAACTCGGGTTAATTTACTATCAGCAATAGTCTAGTTTATATGTCTCTCACACGCAATTGAAATATAACCAAAACTATTTCCTGCATACTTTCGATTACGCTTCTTTATTAAGTCTATTAGAATAACGAATTCAGCTAGCAAAAGTTTGTCCCCGCATAACATGAACGCTGTTAGAAAGTCATTCTCTCTATCACAACTTCAATTTTCGGAGTCTTTGGCATTTTTATTAATAAAGCCTTTTATCGTAGGAAGGACACATAATATAAATTATAAAGCTAATCTGCACACGTAAAACAAAATTAAATTATTATTTGATTATCATAATCAGAGGAATATGAAACTGTGACGCGAAGACTTTAATTATCAGACGTTAGCGAATCCCCGGCGATTGTATTACATTGGTCAAATATGTCGCACGTGGCGCAGTATATATTACTTTACAAATAAAGGGGCACACCTTTCTATAAAACATAAACGGAACAGTCTAAAATTGCAGAGTGCCGTAAGTTGTCCACATGCTTCTGTCACTTCAACGTCAAACGATCGCAGTTTATTAAACGTAAGCATGACCAAGTCATAGTCTATGAGCCTTTACGTCGGTTTGCGATTTTGACACAGTCGCAAGCAAAAGTCGAAACTAACACAACACACTCTTTAACGATTTCAGATACGAAATTCTGCACGAGCATGACTCTATTACATTGTATGCTTTTGTGTCGTGACTCGATTTCACTGTATGCTTTTTGTGTTATGACTTAATTTCACTGTAGCTTCCTAATTTGTATGATCGGATAGTATCTGCGGAATTGATACTTCGTTATCAATCCCACACGTAACACACATGACTATACTTGACCATAGTATTAGTATCTGAATCTCGACATCAAATTCTGCTTATCCGACAATAAATCAAAGACTCAAAGCTTCATTTTCCATTAGAATTCACAGATGATTCTTAACTAATGTGATAATGAGATAAATGATGATGCAGAATACGTGTATTACTATGATTTAAGCAACGGGCCATTAAAAAAGAATCATAATTGTTCGGTTTCATTATCTATATGTGCATTTATGAAAGACCTTATCACATGTAAGTTTCCATCTCAAGAGAATACAAAGAAGATGATGTATATTTATATCGTTCAACGCAAGAATTATGAAGATGGAATCGAGTTATAGTTATAAATGAATTCGACAATGTGTTTAATACAAGATTCTTGCTCAGCGATTAAACGATCAATGTAAAATTAAATCGATAGTGATAACTACAAGTATTTTAATCAAATACTTCCGCAGAAACATTATTCAGATTCGATTATAAGTGCACTTAATATCACACATTGATTTTCGATACATGTAAACGTAGAATTGCAGCGATTAATAATTAATAAAAAATTACGTGGAAATTAAACTCACGACATTGCCACGTAGTTCATAATTTCAGAAGCTATTTTGTTTTTTAAAAATTGTTGCGTTAATATTATTGATACTTAACAGATAAACGATCAAGATTAAGGGGGGGGGATGGGAAAATACCACTACTACCTCTTGTTCACACCATCACAAATAGCACAATAGAAAACACACGATTAGCTGTCTTCCTCTCCTTTAATCCCTAATTTACAACATTTGATTTCGTAAAAATTAGGCCTAATTTTTAATTCTTGTTATCGGTTATGATTGTTATAAGAAAGAATATTCTCGACTTAGATATTCTCCAACGATGAATATTCACAACAATATTATTTCTTGTATTAATATCGTCATTCTTTTACCATATTTTCTTTTTGGCGAGTTGTTCTTAAAATAATAAAGTATTCATATATAGTGATTAAATACAACGATCCGAGTATTTCAATCTCTACGATCCGATAGGAATCGATAAAAAGTGATCAATGTTATTCTTGGGTCTAAATTACGCATTAAGCACTATTACTATCTTGCTATGTGAGATACGCCTAATTAAAATTGATTTTTTTTGCATATCGATATTAATATATGTGAAACTCCACTACCTATTTTGTAAAACTCATGTGTGACATAATCACATGACCAGAAACCATGACTAACCTGTGACAATGAGGAACGAAAAGCTTCCTATCGCAAGAGATGTCTGTTGGAAGCGTCTGCCCGCTAATAGACGATCTCTTATTTATTAAAGGGACTCCCACTGTGTTGGGCGAAGTACCACAAGCAGGAGGGAAGAGGATCTATGTGGTGGAATTCTGGGTATGTGTAAACTAATATTCCATATGGATGATGATGGATAGTAAAGACGGTATTTTGAAAGGAGTCAAGATAAAATTGTCATCTTATAAGTTTTTTTCTAGGCGACATGGTGTTGGCCTTGCAGGGAATCGTGAGTTTCGTAATTGGTGCATCATATAGATGAAATACTCGAAGATATTCACATCTTTTATTGCGCTAGAATACCACATTTGTCCGGATTAGGTGAAAAATACAAAGGTCATGGAGTCACGGTTGTTGGAGTTACTAGAGAGAAGGATCATGACGTTAGTATCTTTCTCTTAATCTTGCTTGATGAATTTGCATAGTTATGATTCTCAGACTTCGCTACGATTCACAGAAGGTAAAGCAGTTTGTTGCTGAAATGGGCGATAAAATGAGTTATAACGTCGCTATCGACGTAAACTTGACTGCTAGAGAAGGTATAAGTTTATAAGTGGATTCATGTCTTATATATTTGGCGTTTCTTTTTGCTGATCGATATATTGTACTTTGCAGCGTTGTACACCCCGAGTAACGCGCCAGGAATTCCAAAGGCATTTGTATTGCTAAATAATGTCGTCTTTTGGCATGGACATCCAGTTGACGATGACATTGAAGCCGAAATAATTAAAGCTATCGAGAGCAATTGATAAAATAAATCAAAGTATAAGTCACAGATGGCTTACTGATTAATTAGTATTTTAAAGAGTATATTATTTAAATCATAAAGCACTTGCGGAAGTTACATCATTCTCGGCTTCGCAGGCTATTGTTGAGATACTTCATTCTCAACACATAGTAACATCTTTCAGTCACGTCCCGCTTAATTCGTCGTTCTACCGTTTTCTCCTCCCCATTCGGTTACTGCCACTACACCCTCTTTCATCTATTTACGCTTTCGCAGCTCTTCTGTCCCAATCTAGACGCTCCCATCTTGATTAATCATCCCTTGCAACCCTAACCCATTACCCAACGCGTTTCCGCCATTTCCTATATTCTGAATGATACCATTGCCATTCAAATTAGTAACTGTTCCACCAGCCATTGCGTTATTGGCCATCAGTCCATTACCAAATCCATTGTTACCGTATCTCATGACTCCATAAACATTGGCAGGATTCACAAAGCCATTTCCAGAAATGCTATTATTTCCTCCGATATACCCATTAAATCCCATATTTTGCAACTGCTGCAACTGCTGGGCATTAAATGTGTCGTTAATCCCCAACAATGACGGAAAAGCCATGTTTTGCACTTGTGTGTTGGATGATGTGAATGATGGAATGTTGTTCATTCCGACAAGAGAAGGCAGCCCTTGGTATGAATTATCAGCGGCGACAGTGGTCATCGCTGTATAATCGGGAATAATGGAATTAACTACAGATGGAGAGGTGAAGTTGGCAGACATCATCGTGGGGAGAAGTGATTGCTGTAGAGATTGGATTCGCTGCGTTGATTGTGATGGAGACAGTTGCTGCTGTTGTTGTGCAGGGAGATGCTGTGGAGAGAGATGTGGTTGAGGAGAGAGGTGTTGCGGAGGAGGCGGCGTATGTACGTCTAGCTGTTGCTGTTGTGAATGCTGTGGTTGTGAATGTTGCGGTTGTGACTGAGGCGACGGTTGTTGTTGTAGTTGCTGTAGTGCTTGTTGTGATTGTTGTGATTGTTGTTGTGGTTGTTGTTGCGGCTGTTGTTGTTGCGGCTGTTGTTGCTGTTGTTGTGACTGTGATTGTTGTTGTTGCTGTTGTTGCTGTTGTTGTTGTTGTCCTTGTTGTTGTTGTTGCTGCTGTTGCTGTTGTAACTGAGCGTTATTTATTGACGGAGATACTTTGGCTGGCTGCTGACGCGGTTGTTGTGATTGTACCTGTGGCTGAAGCTGTTGTTGTAGGCGTGGATTCCGTTGAGGTAATTGTACCTGAGCTGTTAAAAGAGAATTGTGTTGTAGTTGTGCTGTTTATAGCTGTCCCTGATACTGTTAATTAACATCATATACCATACCAGCTCCGTTGTGTTGACCATTTGTCACTTTAAATTGTTGTAGTGACGATGGGTCACTTGTCGTTTCAGGGGGCGGATTGCTTGACGGAACCGAAGGACCAGCTGTATTCTGAATTGATTTAAATTGTGCATATATTTGAGCAGCTCTCTGCAGGAGTGCGTTCAATCTCAAAGGATTGGCTGATTTTGATTGTGGCAATAAACTAAAATCGGGCTCGGTTTTTGTTTTTGCACCCTTATAAGTAATAGCACAAGGTTGCGATTGTCAGTAGTGAACCGCCTGCAAATAACAATGCCAACGTAAATATCTATGGATGTCTTACTCCCTGTGGATGGCTATACTGATCGGCCACAGTTGCCAAATATGAAAGGTTCGATTGGAGTCGCATCTTGTATCTTTAATAAACAAAATTTGGTTAACACCCTCACTCATTCTGTCGCCAGCATGATCACACCATTCAGCTAGATATAACACTTACAGCGTAAACTCGTTTTCATTTACCCAACTGTGTTCTTGATATTCTATTAATATACGAATTATCTCTTTGTTTACGTCGAGTAACTGAATAAACAAAAATAAAATTAGATTCAACCACAATTAAACGTTCTCGAACACTGCCAGCATCACTAAATAATCTCACCGCTTGTACACATCTCTGCGTATATTCTGAAAGTAACGAATGGTAATGAAACGATATTTATTTGATTGTATTTTCTCCATTTTCTGACTATGCCAAACCAACACAAAAATAACCAACCGTGTTCAATCGACCTATTAATATTTGCATTCGCCATTGCTGAAACTTGATTTCCAACTTTTGTATCGATATTTCCACTCAAATCAGCAACTATATTCCCGTTTGCAGCTCCAGTCATACTGACACCTGCATTAGCATTCGTTGTTTCTATTAGTCTCTCTATTAAGCAAATAAGAAAAGCTCATGCTCCCATCCTACAACACTGCTGCTCGCACCGTCTACGTTCAAGCTCTGTGGGGTAACATATGTTGCTGTTTGATCTGACTTGTATTGCACCTGTACGGGTGCAATAGCCTGTCCGACAGACGAGACGGTCTGATCGGTAGGAAGCCAGGAGGAGTATTGCGTATCATACTGGGACACTTGGCCCGATGTTAGGTATAAGTTTGTGAAGGGAGGTTGGAGACTGTTTGGATTGTTCATTTGAGAGATCGAGTTGGAAAATAACGGACGGGCCTGCATTTTCGGGTGTATCACAACTAATATGTCGATCTCCTAAAAAAAGATGCGGAATACGAAATTTTATTTTATTTTTTTTTTTTCCCATTTTACTCAAAAGTCGAATAATGCCAACAACCTTCAGAAACCGACTACTTAAATATCTGATATAAGAGATGTCCTGTACGTGCAATTTTGTGTATACTGTATATATTTAATTTGTTACTTGATTGCTGAGAATGTAAATTTCCTTATTGTTCCATTAATAGTTTTTGCTTGCGGCAGGGTTTTTTGAGCGTTGAATATAATAGTGTCGGGATTCTTGACGAAACTGCGAAGTAGATATTGGTAATAGCAATAGGAGCATGACTATTGTACACTTAATTGGGCCAAGTTATAAAAATAAATAAACATAAATATCATTATAGATATATCAGAACAAATAAAATGAGAAAGATGATATAATGGCATGCTCCATGCCGGTCAGAATAAATCCAAAAGTCATTTTTATTGACAATAAATATGCTGAAACAAAACCAGACAACATTTCTACATAGAATGGCTGGTATGGCTGGAATATTAACAATTATTTATATACTATAAAATTGACATTAATTTACATTAAAATCTACTTTACTGTAAACCTAAAAATTACAGCGCAATCAGAAGTATTAAAAAAAAAAAGGTGAAAAAATCGCATCTTATGTTTTAAAATGAATAACACCAAAGTATCAGAATAGATAAGAAAAAATTACTTACTAAATTTATCGAGAGAAAAAAAGCAAGCGTTAACATAATGGATTAAGAAAAAATAATAATAAAAAAAGAAGAAACATATAGGAAAGCAATTTAACGTAAAAGCTTCCCATAAAGATCGAGCGACCTATCAACGAAAAATCGGTCCTTGTAGTCTTTGGCTTGTTGGTAAAAAGAACGACTACTCTGTAATGTCTAGTCGTATGTTCGCGCGTTAAACTTCTGTGGGCTGCGTCTCCAAATATCAGTCTCAGAGTAACTGATGGAGACTATATTCTCGATTGCTGTATCGGTTAGATAAATGGACTCTAGGTTATAAATAACCGCTAATTAACAAATGCCACGTCCGATTAATGATCGCTGTTGTAAGCGAAGAGAGGGATGATTATTATTTACACTTGTTAATCGGGTAATTGATTCAAGAATTATTATTCTGCAATAACCGAGTAATAAACTGAATGAGTGATGAATTATCAAAAGATTTATCACCTTTATTTATAGGAAATTCAAGCAATATATATTTTTCTAGATTGGATATTAATAATTATCTAAATTAATTAGTATTTTGCAAACCATATATTTCCAACATATTTGTTCGCTGAATTAATCATGTGATTTGGACGAATATTTGTTTATTCGCTGAAATTTAAACGAACCCTGTCTTACATAAAACAACGGCAAACTCTCATTCAAGCTATTAGTCGAGATTTCTGAGCTTCAAAAGAGAATGCTTGCTCATAGACAAAAATATTGTATTCTTGGCTGAGAATACGAAATTAAAACAGCTATGGAAGACACAAGCTAGATTCGCGAAACTAGAGCAGAACGTTAAAGAAAACTGATCTTACTGTATAGCTAAACTGGAGTACGATGTCTCACTAATCAATGAATAGGGCTTGCAAGACAAGAACGCTCCATACCATCAAACTGTTGTAAAGTTTTGCAGTCTTCAGTAAGTTTACAAGTACCTGAACCTGATTCTCCTGAAGTAAATTCTGACAATACCTCATGTTTAAATGCTTTATCGCAATACCCGCAATGCAAGAAATGAATTCAGAATTTTTGCGATCATGTAAGGAAACTCGGCATAATTTTTTTCTAATTATAGCCCCTGTAAAGAAAAGAAAGTCATGAATATGTAATTCAGTAATTACAAATTGTATCATTTTTGGTTATTTTTAAACCCCCATAATCATTAGTAATGAAAATCGAGATCCCTTCTATATCACCAACGAATTTATTACAGGAATCAAATGGGGTTTTGGGAGAGCGATTTGTTGCGTGGGTGTGTTTGCCGACCGGGGGATGTTACCAGGCCTAGCTCGTTCTGTCGCCCTTACTACGATAGTAAGACTGAATTAAGCCTACAAGTGACCTATTAATTAATTATGCGCGCTTTTCGCTCCCTATCCAAGTTTCAAACACTCGCGAATATAAATAATGGTATCTCTAATAGAATAATAACAACAATTATTCTATTAAAGAATCGAAGGGGAATACAATAACAAGGCTATCTTTGATTTGTGTTTCGACTGGTCGGTTTCCGTCACTTGTTTTACTAAACTAATTAAACAATAATCGTCTTTGATAATTAATTATGAACTCTCGTTCCGTTATTTACGCGGACAGCTTACTAGCTTGATCAAATCAATGCTATTCAAATGAGCCGTTTTACTGGACTGTCCGGTCTAATAATCAATTATTTCGACGATGAAAGGATAAAATATGTGTATTGCAAATGAAGGATTTCGGGAGTATACTACTAAGATCAATAGTATTATTTAAATAACAACTTCCGCATTCAACATTCGAACATGAAGACTTGACGATGGAGGAAGAACAATTAATTTAGCGTTTGTGCTGTGACGTCAGTCTGGTTTTGTTGCAGCACGCCCCGAGTAAGACAGATACAATGGATCTAAACCTAGTGTTAGAAGGTCAAGAGACGATGAATCCCACGTGTCACAGAAGGATATCAATAGCACAACCAATGGCTCTTAATATTGTTATCAATATTTAGTATTATGATCGAATGCTGAATGAAAATAATAGTTACAAAATCAAGCCACATAATTTATATTTGAATTTTGTACCACAAGATTCTCTTTATCAATCTATTGATTTTGTTGCCTAAATGAATATTAACACGAGTTTGTTTATGCGTAAACAATGGCGATCAAGATCTACTCGAAGATCACTCTTCAACTTTAAAAAGTTTGCTGAAGATTCTGCCATTTTATTGGATCCGATAAGACTCTTAGTTATTGTGTCTTTTCGTCAAATCCGAAATTTCCCTAAATCAAATGCATATCGATATCTCGCATAAAGTGTCTTAAAAATAATTGAGCTAGCACAACATATACACAGTGAAATTCACTTTAACGAAGACATTCGTTCCACGATTTTGCTTCGTTAACCTGAAAGTTCGCTTAAGTGAACTGTCTTTTTATATAAAATATATGAATCCGTTCTGGAAAAAACTTCGTTATAAAGCGATCTTCGTTAAAGTGAGACTTCGTTAAAGTGAATTTCACTGTTACATATCTATTACACATTATTTTTTTAGTACGGAATTCTATCCCCATTATTTGCTAAAAAAAGCTCACGTGTTGAATCATATTAGCTACATGCGTATCAAAGTTTATTAATACAAAACACGACTGCTCTAGTTAATACAAAATATAGTCATAATATAAACCACATTTATTCTATATGCGGACGAGTGACATGTACAGCGATACGAGTCTCTCGATTGGAAAGTGAATTAGGACGTTGATGCCGGTTCGCGTTTTTGTAATATTATTTCCCGTGTTATACAAATGAAAATCGAAGGTTTTCATACCCAAGCTGAATTAATCATGCTAATACGGGAAGAAAATTACTTCAGTAACTAATTACGGGATCCGAAACAATTTTTTGTAGGTGCGCCCCGCAAGAAGAACCTGGAAGATAACGCATCTCATGTGATTTGAGCAAACGAATTTAGTCTATTTTTGAACTCTGATCCCAACACAGTTAACAGCGACCGGAACAGTGAACGTCTCGACTTCTCATCACGGTTAACACTCAATGGAATTAGTTATTCTTGCTTACGGTCTATACAACTCTTGCTAGCTGAGTAAATGTTTAGGTGTGAACAACAGACACACTGAATGACTTTTAATAAAAAGGAAGCATAATTGTTATAATACTGTAAAGTATTTGCTATATTTACAGCTGTTGCCTATCTTAAATAAAATCACATATCTGCCAATTTCCTGCGACATATTATGGTCTGAAGATAACAGACGGAACCGATTTACCCTTGTAGAAAGCAATTGTTTCTCTTGCTTTAGCAGCAACGTTCTCGGGGGTAAATCCATACTTCTTGTATACTTCTTTATACGGTCCAGATGTACCAAATGTCCTCATGCCAACGTGTGCATGAGAATACGTATCCCATCCGTACGTCGACATTGCCTCGACACTAACAACGGGGATGCCGTCAGGGAACACACTCGAGCGATATTCAACACTCTGTTCTCCGAACAACTCGAACGAAGGCATAGACACCACACGTGGTTTAATTCCTTCAGATTTCAAAAGCTTCGCCGCGTCAACCGCGATTGAAACTTCAGAGCCCGTACCCACAAGAGTAATATCTGCATTGTCTACCTCCTCAAGGACGTAACCTCCTTGAAGAGTTTTCTCGACAGATGAATTGTGGAGTTGGGGGAGATTCTGACGAGTGAGAGCAAGGACTGATGGTCGGTGATGATTATTTAAAGCGGCGAGATATGCTCCTGATGTTTCGTTGCCGTCTGCCGGACGCAAGACCAAAATGTTAGGAAGTGCACGGAGGGCAGCCAGTGTTTCTATTGGTTGATGAGTAGGTCCGTCTTCGCCTGTTATTTTGATAGCGGTTGGTCAGCATTACAAGATTATGATGTCGCATCATTTATACTTTACATATTGCCCTCAAACTATTGTATATACATACCGAGTCCGATAGAATCATGAGTCATAATATATAGCACTCTGAATCCTGTTAAAGCAGATAACCTTACAGCTCCCCATGCATACGTAATAAAATTTAGGAAGGTACCGCCGAATGGAATGAGCCCACCATATGCTGCAATGCCATTCATGACAGCGGCCATAGCATGCTCTCTGACACCGTATCTGATATACTTTCCCTTATAGTTTCCTATATTCGTCGATGGATGCTGAAAATCGACAGCTGTCTTCCATCGAGTGAGATTGGATCCAGTCAAGTCAGCGGAACCGCC